TACATATATACAATAATACCCCAGTTAATTTAAAAATAACTAAAAATCGAGTATCAAATACCTTACGCGATTGTTCCATATTATATCGCATGTGAAATTTATTTAGTTTTCCAATCAACAATTCACATTTTAAACGTTTCCGTACTGAAACAGATCGATGGTATATTTTAATTACCTATAAAATCATCCGAGGAGAAATGATCATTGTCCCAGACTTGTAAACGAAGCTTGCAAGGCAGCTTCTCCTCGATCTCATTTTTCGCGAACACTGACATTCTTCTGCGGACTATCATGACGTTCTCGCCTTTCGAGTACACGACGCGAAATACGAATCTCCAGTTGAAGTTGCCCTCGCCGGTCAGGGAATTATAGTGGATGTCGGTCTTCTGGTAATCCTCGTATTGAATCCATCTACGTAATTATTTCGAGCAGATAACGAGCCCGTTAATAGCGTATATCTATTGATCTGTCTCTAATCATTAAGTCCGTTATTAATTGGAACTAAAACTGATTATTTCCAAGAATTGATTAAAAATTAAATTGTTGTTAGATTTTAATAACTTTTAAGAGCCTTAGTGGTTTTAAAAGGTTACTTCTGCCGGCAGATATAGGATTCATTACGATAATAAAATTAAAAAAAAGAAAATGTATTTGCAGCCAACTACGTGGAATTAAAGTTCAATACCGATGATTTGCGATGTTCTTAATCACATTTAAATTGAAAAATTTAAAGCGAGATATATTTGAATCCACAAAACGTTATTAATCTCGCTTGTAAATATCGCAACACAATAATTTACAATTGTCTATCTTCGATTTCTGCTTCAACCGAATAAATCGCGCAAAATATCTGCCAATTGACAAATATTGTCGCTTATGAATCATTAATCAAGGGAGCTAATTAACCGCGGACAATAAAATAAATTCTGAATTTAGTCGAACTCAATTGCTATTTCATATCACGCTTTTCATATCTTTTGTGTATTACATGCAATTGTTAGATAAGCCCGATAAAATACTTTTATTCATTGGTCTCACATGTTTGCGATGGCATACCCTTTGACATAAATGTCGGAGCACTTTTCCCCGGTGAGGAATTGGCTCTCGGTCAACGGCACATCTTCGGTATTCCAAACAATTATACGAATTTCATATTCCTCCGATGTTGGGGGCGTAATGTTGACCGCCGGTTTCGGTGGCAATTGTCCAATTCGAAACATATCGATCCATATTTCAAGCTTGCCCTAAAATGTCATTTTTATACGGGAAACTCATAATTGTGCAATATCTTTTAATGCATTCTGCAGATTGATGATGCTGAAAAGATCTTAAGGTAAAAATATTGTGCTTATACAATAATTTACAGCGATGATAAGCAACCAAAGTAACCAATGCTATAATTACATTGAGCTCCGTATTTATTATATATAATATATTGATTTTTAAAATACATGTTATTTTTTACAAATATAATTTTGTGTCTCTTATTTTCTTATATTAGCTAAACATTATATACTATCTGATACTATCGTAATCAACTGACTAATTATTTAATCTTTTTTTATAATAAAAATTTAAATAATTAATTACTTTATTTATAATAATTATTAAATGTAACTATTAATCTAAATTTAAAGTGTACCTTTGTTTTGTAATCAGTAAAATTAGAAATAATATAATAATAATTATTAGTATCTACATCAGTATCGACATTAACGTTATTAAGTTATCCAGCTGCGTGACTTCAAGAAACTAAGAAAAGAAGTCGCTACATTTTACAAGGTGATTTAATCTCATTTTTTAATTTATTAAACTCACGAGACAGATTTTTAAATTAATAAAGTCATGTAGAGTTTTCACGTTCGTCACGAAACGTTAAAGTTTGATGTGTGTTATAATAATAGTTGATGTGTGTGTTTTAATAATTTAATATATGCAAATGTCTTTTTTATATTCATGAATTCTATTCTTTAAGTGAACGCGTTGGAATTAACGCGCGCCTGTTGATCGAGATAGAATATTCGGTGTGATTTTATTTTGTAAAACATCGAAATATTTCACGTTCGTTTGACTGACACGCAGCCTTGGTATTTGTTATCGCGACGTATACGGCACGCGCGATGTTTACGTAAGATCGCCGCGCTATCATTCGCAGGCTCGAGCGGGTAGGCAGCGGCGCGTGTCGTCGCGCGTTATCACCTCACAGAACACGATTAATCCCCCCGAATAATTTGCGATTCTTCATTAATTAACTGCCGCGATTAACAATTTGTAAACGCGCCGAGTTAAGGGTTGCCGATCCCAAGCACGTATTCGTGCGATTTATTCGCGTGACGTAGAAATCGAAACGACTGTGCACGAGAGTTATAAATTATCGCCTCGTGCTACTGACGCATGGTAATTGTTTCTTCAGTCCGAATTCGAGTTTATCGCGCATCGCGCTTTAAAATTCGCATCGATTTAAATGCAATTTCGCTATACGATTTTCGCATTGGGAACACGGAAAGATACTCGTGTCGGTGGATTCGAGTTACAGAGAGAGAGTCGCGTGTGTTATATATCGTTTATTAATAATACTGTGTATCTTGCAAGATTTATATGTCCAATGTTGCACGTGTGCAATACTGAATCCCAATTGGACATTTCCGAACGTTCCATCGCGCTTTAATTAACTAGACTTTACCGCGTTGTATCACTGCACATATCAATGTCGCTAATTTTTTGTTTATTAACGAAACGTCGTGTGTATATGTGTAGAACAAATTGATTTCGGATTCAACAACGTCGTGGCGTGTTTAATTAATAAGCATAATTACAGTTAATTCCGTATTCTAATATTTGCTGCAGGCGGCGCGGTATAATTTTGGTTAGCATGTGTATATCGCTTTGATCAAATCCTTCGCTGGAGATTCATCATATTCTGATGATTAATGTACCCGCGATCGTAATTAACGTTTTCATGAATGGACGTCGTATAAATAAATGCCATAAATAAGTGAGCGGCAAAGGAAAAACAATCTCAGAGAAAAAGATGAGGAGATTGGAGAAGTTAAAAATTAAAAAATACAAATATTAAGAATTTAAATTTAGAGTATAAAAATATTATGAGTGAATTTATTAAGCCATTTTTACTTGAAATGGATGGGCTGAAGAATAGATTAGCGAAAATATTTAATTCAGGAACATGCATATAACGTCCGTCATTCAATTTTGCATGCGCAACAGAATATAGCACGAAAGGATATCAATATACAGAAAGAATATCAATTTTAATATCGAGTACATTATAATTTATAATTGATTTCAAATTTATGATGTTATTGTTCCGATAAATAGTAAAAAATAAAATAGCAAGCAAAATAGCACTATAAGAAATAAAATGCTAATCTTTTTAGAATATAAACATTCTTTTATTTTATAATTCCTTTATTTATTGTTTATATATTATAGAAAATTAAAATAAATGTTCATACATTTTTGCTTCCTCATAGAGGAAGCTTTGTTTTTATATGTATGATGATGATGATTGATTGATATAAAATAAAATAAATTATTATTTTCAGAACATGATAGATATATTAATATTTAGACGTGTTTCTCTATTTTCCTTTTTTTCTCTCGTAAATATTTTTTTAATGAAAAATTGAGGGTATATACATTTGATCTTTTCCTACATTTCTCCATAATTATGTAAATATTTCACATACTGCTACGTATGAAGCAATATTCAGAAATATTTTCAATATTTGTTATTTAGAGTTATTAATAATTTACTTCAAAGTAGAGTAATTAATAATTTTTATTAAAAAAAATTAAATAATTTGCATATAACATTAAAAATTTCCTCTTTGTAATAAAATTGTCAATATTATTGATTACTACAGTATGCGTAGTACACATAAAAAATGAATAGACAAAGTCTGTTTAGCAGCAAAAATTAATTATCTGAATTTTAAAAAATCAGTTGCTTATGATAAATTAATGTGCAAATCTCTCGAGGCAATATCATAAACCTACTTTGATTGCTTATAATGCTCTTGAAAACTATTGTACCTAATCATAATATTTTTACATCAAAATTTTCGATTTTAATTAATCTTCAGAATATCTACATTATTATGTCATATATTGCAGTAGATGTTGGAAAATATCGTAATTATATTTATAGGCAAAAATTGTTTTGCGACAATTTTTAATCTGACAAGAGAAATGTAGCTCATTTGATAAAGTAATGCAAAATTTAATTAAGATATAAAGAGAATTTTTCTTCCGCGGCACAAGAATGTCTGTATCACGGTCACGTTTTCTAACGAACAGAGTTACTTTTCATAGTCAGACGATGAATTTCATGCAACCTGCTCGAGACCGGGCCTCTTAACGTTGAAAAGTGGCCGTCTCTCGACGTGCTCCGGTACCAAAGCACATCCGCAGATAGGAAAATCTTGCCAGTGGTGAAGTACGCTGAGAGCCATGCATTCTTCTTTGTCTGTCGGCGCACATATTGAATATTTAGTAGAAGTTTCTTAATAAACTATTTTTTACTTTGCATGTAATGTAAATTTTTATTTATTCATTAGTGTCAATTAGAGCAAAACATTTTTTAGATTGTAGAATAATAATTTTTAATTATATGTGATTAGATGATTATTTATATAAAGACCGTGTTTACACAGTCGTGTTTCTGATCCAGAAGAACTCGGCCAAAGCTAGTCACGCGACGTGATACGATTTAATAAATGGATCATGAGAGTCAGTTCAACATTCGTAACGTCACGTTCGTAATCGTGATTCAACTGAGAAACTCAGAGTTTGTCTTGAGGCAAAACGAACTTTGTTTCTTGCAGTTCTAATAATCGATTCCAAGAGAAACTTGTATGTGCACATGTTTTATATTTGTTAACCTCATATCAGAGTTATGTATTGAATCGGGAAGAATTCCGTATTTCTCAAGCATATTCTAAAAATAGTTGAAGAAATTGTGTATTTAAATAACTTAAATGGTCAATTAAAAAGTTTTATCTCAATTAAATAATTATTGAGATAAAAAAAACTTGATTTAAAATTCAAAAATAAATTGTTAAAATCTTGCAACTAGAAACTGTTATTACATTCTTGTATAAATAATGGACAATAATTTCTTATATTGCATATTAATTATTAATATAAGAAGCGTACGTGAGTATCTAATATTAATTTTTTAACTGTGTATCAGTAGTTTAAAATCTAACATTATTAGATGAATTAAAGTTATCTACAATTTCATCGAAAAAGTATTTAGTCTAAAAACTATAATTTACCTGAAATTAATTTTCTATTTTATGAATGATAGAGTCTTCGGATAAATGTTAAATGATAAATGTCAACGCGATGATAATCTTTTTATCGGGATTAATTTGAAATGTAAGAAACCGAATCTTTATTGCGAATTGATATAGCATTAAATATTTCGAGGTAATAACAGATCGGCTGGCACGCGGTCTTGGTGCTTGTTTTTACAATTAGGTACAGCGCGCTATGTTTATACAAACTCGCTACTCGCTGTACGTTATCATTCGCACTTGAGACTTGAGCGAGGCACTTCGTTTCATAAAACGCGATCTCTCCTTCCAAACGATTAGCGATTCAGTTTTCGATTAATTAACTCTGATTAGCAATTTGCAAGTATATCGAACAATTTGCAAATATACCAGTTGCACGATGTATTAATTCATATTTTATAGCTTCCTTATTTATTAAATGTTTCGTTTCGATGACAAAGTGTGTGGCTGGCACACGCGACTAATTATTTTATTGTCATTCGCACGGGCTTCTTTTGTTATTCGCATTATTAAAATCGGAAATGCCGTACGATTGTTGTACTTTTATTAGGGCATTTGAAATTGTAATTAATCATATTTTCACAATAAACATTGTGCCTGTGGAATAAAGAAATAAGAGAAAAAGAAGTCTAGAAAAAATGAAATAATCAGTAATTTACTAATTTAATATTTATATTATTTATTATTTTTTTTATTTTATTTAAAATCGAGACTTCAAATTTTAAGAAAATTTTGTTGATTTTAAGAAAATTAAGATCTGCGTTTGGCCTCTTTTCCAAGTAGCAGAGTGACGTCAAATGACGTATTAATAACGGCTTAATGACGTCTCTAACGTCAATAAAACGTCATTAAGACGTCTTTGGACGTCATCTTACTGGATTATATGTATAAAAGGAAGCAAACCAGAAATTTCTTTAGTATATTTTTATTCAAAATATCTCATCCGTCACGCTTGTGAAATGAGATTCAAGTATCGGTTTTCAATGTAAACCTAAATCTCCTATTTGAATTGTAAATTACAAATGACTGGTGTTTGATTTGCATCAGGATATGAAACTCTCTCTATCGGGTTATCACTTAGCAGTTACGATAATCTTCGATCAATGGAAATATTATATATACGTACCGACCTCGTCTTCGCGCTCGATCACAGCATGAAAGGGAAACGACTGCTTCCCAATCTTAATTTCTCGTTCCCCGTATTCCGGTGGCGGTAGATTGTTCTTCCTGCAGAGGAACTCCAGGATCTGCGTCGGTTTTTCGCGATCTCTCCAAGCATTATAACCGACGGTGCTGTAGGCGCTCGCGATTCCACAAAGCGCCCGATGCCGACTGTAAAATCGGTTTTCGATGTCAATCCGCGTCACGCCGATTAGATCATCGGCTGTCGTAGCGTCGAAGTCCCACACTTGAATCTCTAACATGTAATCTTGCGGGAAGCTCGCCTCGATTTCGAACACACTGCCAGATAATATTTACTATTTGAGGATAATCGCGCTAATACTTTTTTATGTTTATTCGAAATCGACCATAGGTACTGCTTTAAAAAAATAAAGAATATTTGACAACTTATTTTTTAGAATAGATATTAATTATTTTAGATAAAAATGATATGGCATGAAAGAGTTAAATTTTATTTCATTTATTATCCTTAGAGGATCTAAGACTGTTTTTTAAATATTGCATATTTAAAAATAAAAAATATATTGATTAACAAAATAATTTTAATCGCTGTTATATTTATGCTATGTTATTATTTAAAATAGCTAGAAAATCCAATCGTGCAGGTTGGATAATCGTGCTAATTGATCTCTTTTTTTTAGTCGAAATCAATCACCGGAGACTCTGCTTTGGGAAAAAAAATCTAGGGCAATTTGTTTTTTATGGCCTAGCTATCACATTATTTTTGGGTAACGCGGTACTAAAAAATAAATTTTATTTTATTTATTGCTAGAAAACTTGAAAGAGGCTATTTATTTCTTAGTTATTGCATTTTTAAAAACGAAAAACATATATGGTTATCAAAATAATCTCGATCCCTGTTACATCTACGCTAGTTTGTTACGTGAAGTAGCTCGAAAACTCGATCGTGTAGTTTGAGAGCTGTAAAAAGCCGATACGCACGGGTGCACAGATGGATATCGATAAAATATTTCTCGATAACGCCCGAGGAGCATGCATGGCAGCTATACCGCGGTGTGCTATGGAAAGAAGGTACGGTAACTTTTTGTTGACCTTACCGACCAAACGTAGGGTTCAATTGATTAGGTATATAATTCTTCCTGTCGCTGATAGAATTTTTTCCCAGCTTCACGCAAAGATACGGGTCAGACTTGCCGCTGAGGGGATCCTTAGGCTGTAAGTTAATGCCTGCGCGAAAAGCAAATTTACTGTCGGCTCGATGCCGCAGAGATGGGCTTTCTAGCTTTCTTGAGGAATATAAGGTGTACCAGAAAATCCCGCGAATAAAACGGTAAGGGATCTTTAAACCACCCTCTATAAACTTCCCTTTTTTTAATAAGAAAATGTTTACACAGGATGTTTACACGGAGAAAATGTGGTATCCCGTTACACGCTTTCGTTCATAATTACTTCATAATTACTTCGTCAAGTTTGGATTAATTTTTATTAGGTAAAATAGAATCTACGACCATTTACGGTTTTATAATTAAGAATAAATATTTGAACAATGTATAGCTTTGAATTTACTTTTGTTGAGAAGTCTGTAAGTTAATATAAAAGCAAATGAGCAGAGTGTTTTTAAAACAAGTTATTTTTTTCGACGCACATGGTATAATGCGGAAACTAACCCTTTACGACGTAGAGTCTAACGAGAAGCTTAACAGGCTCTTGAGGCGGATAATCGTTGCACAGGCCATTAGCCGCGTCTCTCCCGCTTCTCGTTTTGCATGGAAAATTATCAGGATGCGGCCATCGGTATATAGAAATATACCCCTAAAATCACAATTTACAGTCTTTGACATAAATAAATTGAGTGCCATGGTTGATGAGACGTTGAACAGATTCGATCTACATTATTAATTTATTTACAGTCACCGTTGATATTTGTCGCACTTAATTAATTACACTTAATTAACATACTTCATTAATTATAATTTGTTTAAAGAAAATTAGATAAAATTCCTTTCACGATAAAGAGCTTTCTCTCTGTCATTTTCATATAAAATCAGTCTATATATTATATATTTTTTAAAGATAATTTTTTTTAATGAATTGCCTTGAATTTGCCAGCGTAATTATCTCCAGCGTGCTCGGTAATTTCACCTTTTCTTCCACGCCACAATTCGAAAGTACGGAGTCGGTCTTGAAACCCCTCGAATTGCGGCTGCGTCTCCAGCTCCGTGGAATAGATCTGATTTCAGTGTCTGAGCACTCAAGTTTTGACAAGTGCATTAAATAGTACCTTGAACGTTGCCACGGGTTTACGACGAAATGCTATCGTGATTCCCAATTCTCTGTTTCTCTCTTCCTACGGATTCAACGACGCTCAATAATTTGCATTATAAAATATATCTCGATTGAATGGATCTAGCCAATCAAGACTCGTGTTTTACATTCGATTTAGAATCGGTTCATTTATCAGTAACGTGATTTATCAGTGATCGCGAAATAAAGCTGAATCGAGGAAAATTTTAGAAAATTTCTTGAAGATTCAGAAAAATAGAAGAGAAACCTAAAAGAAGTCCTTCTTGAAGTCCTATAAATTCTATAATATAAAATTTTTTTGCAATTTATAATTTATATAAAATTTTCAGAAATAAGAAAGCAGAGACAAATATATCTAAATCGTTAAACTGCATTCTAATCATATAAGATAGTAAACTACTAAACGTTTAAACAGTTAAGTATCTAAGCAATTAAGTTACTAAGCGCCCTGACCCGTTAGGTACCCAAACAATTAAATTTCTGAGCGCACCTAAGCAGCTAAGTATTTCAGCAATTCAGTATCTATTACGCAGTTACATTCACACGATTTATAGTATCGGAAATCCTTAAAGATTAGAAAAATAATTAAGTTTGAAGAATTTAAGGAAGTAGATATTTTAAACGTTTTTAACTACAAATGCGTTAATAACGCTTTTCATCCGTGTCAATGAATTTCTCGTGCAAAGTGATAAGAAATAACTTCGGCAATAATTATTCTTTACATTTAAAGCAACTTTACAAACCTGGAGGGAGGCGAAATATTTATTCCACCAATCGAGAGTCTCGTCATCGCTTTCTTTATAAATTTCCACCTTCTTTCTCTTAGTAAGAAACTTAAATTTCAATATCCTCTTGATGATTACGAGCAGTCTCTTCAACTTGGAGTGGACGTCCGTTGCAGCCATTCTCTTATATGCAATGAGACCTTTGTTCTCTTCCTTCGAAGGGCTATAATCGATCGGCAAAGGTACTGCACCAATAATAAAATATGAAACCAATATTAAAAATCCTGCAATTATTTGCGTACAGGGTAATGCACAAAATATTTTTGATAATACGAATGATAATAAAAAGAAACTCTTCTGATTTATTCCGTGCCTACCACCTACCTGACCGTTGCCCTTACGCCACTTTCCCTTTCCTATATCTAACCCTATCCTCTCCCTTTGACCTGTGTCCACTCACACACGCTCTCTCACTC